GGTGGGGGTGGGGGTGGTGGGGGTGTGGCAGGCGAAGACTCACAAGAATACAATGCAGCGAAGCACAACAATTCCAGCAACAGCAGCTGTGTTACTCGCAGCAACAACTGGATACCTGAATTACCTAAGTTACATGGATACGGATAAATAGGAAATAATCCAGTTTGCATATGAAACTCTGACTTAAATGATTCTTCACAAGCAACCCCGACCGGGAACGAGTTAGAGCTAAATAAGCACAAGACTCCCACCAGCAACGAGCGGGTCGCAGAGCGCTGTTCATTATCCAAGTACTTCAGCTTGGCAACCGACCCATGCAGGCCGTTCCTCGGTTTAGGGTTGAGAGTGTAGGGTAGGATTCAGACCCTTCGAGGGAGCTAGAATTATCAAGTAAGAGCACCAGAACCCATCCAGCCATCCTTTTCGAAGGACAACTAATTGGTCCCTCCTCATAGGCCTTAACCGCGAGTAAGAATAAAAGAGGACCTACCCTTGGCTCAGGGTTTGGAGGTTACGGTTAAGGCTAAACAGCACTTTAGCCTCTGTCTAAGCTACAAGGCTGCTTCCGTCTTCTGAATAGGTGAGAGTCCTCCATATACATGCAATCTTACTGCCTGGTGAGGCACCCCAGTCTGCACTTGATCCCCATTTAATCCTGAGGGAAGCCCCCTACAATCATATACACGTATTTCCAGAAATGGGCTCGGCTATATAGACCCCAGAAATTTATGAGCCTTGTTCTCCGGATTCAACCACTTTGTTGAGGAAACCCTAAACTCCAAACCCGACGATCTAGAATCTATCTTACGGAACTCCTACGCATCCCCCGTCACAAATCGCTCTCGCGGGGGCGTAGCAAGCTTTAGCATTATCATCTGTTAACGGTAAAGTCAGTCAACCTTACCGGGAACATCCACCGGAAACCCCAGTAGCCTGCTTATCCAGTCCTCCCTGAACCTCCAAGAATCAGGAAGCTCCAGAAGTGCTGGCAAGGCTCGTTTCCAAGCCAAGCCTCCGGCTTAACTTGCTCTGTTTAGGGTTCAGGGCTTCGGCTTAAGTGCTTAGGGTTTAGGATTTAGGGCGTGTGTCTTGGTGCCTAGGATTAGCATTCCGCATTTGGATTCTGGTTTAGGGTTTGGGATCAGGCTTGAGCGATTAGGTTCTGTTTTAAGGAGCATTTGGAAAGTTATTGAAGCTTAGACCTGGAGGTTTGGGAACAAACAACGGGGAATTCAAGCCAGTCACCGATTTGTGCCCCGAAACCCTAAATGGCGCTGCTAGACGAGCAGGTTCTTCGGAATGACATTTACTATGTGTATAATAGTTTCCATTTTCTTTTCCATTATCCCCATGATACTAGTACGTTGGGGTAATATTAGGGTTATATTGGGATAGTAGAAAATAAAATCGAAACTACTGCAAGGGCCGGAGGGGCTGTACTATCCAAATCCAAGTCACAAATCCCGGAGCTCTATCGCCATCTGAGCTTCTTGGACCCAGCTCTCACATTCCTCGGATCAGTTCTGTCTCTTCTGCCTCTCGCCCCCGAGCTTTAGGATTTATGAAGCTGCAGCTCTGCGCCTGGACTTTTTCTGCTAGCCATAGCAGAGTTGAGGTTTAGGGCTTCAAAGATTCGCTGCTGAGAGTTAGAGGGCGTAAAATTCAGAGGCGCTTCAATTCTGCGACATGGTGCGCAACTGCACAAAGTGCCACCAGAAATCTACATGCTGAGGCCGAAAGCCTTGCAGGATGTGTTCCTCAAGCACGACCTGTGCAATTTGATTCGTCTCTATCCGAAAGTCACTCCTGCACTCCCGTTCCAAAATGACCAAAAGCCCTGAAAAGCGAAGAGGCCGACTTCTTGTGGCGAAGTTTGAGCTCGTCAGCGATAACCTTCAACACTGCGCATTCCTCCTGCAACAGAGAAGAAGATCGCGAAAGCTCATGGGGTTACATTATTGCAAGAGTCAATTCGCTTTGCAAGGTCTAGGGGGTCCTGCCTGTGAAGAAAAACATTCCAACTGACACTGTTGCGTGACGGCCACGATTGTGGTACCATTCTGATGCGATATCTATTGCCCTTGCCGCGGCTATTGTCTCACAATTGTTGGCCATTCTCATGCATGACGACAACGGCTGCTGCTGCTGCTGCTGCTGCTGCTGCTGCTGCTGCTGCCGCCGCTGCTGGCAGCGGCACCAGCGCAACGACGAGCCGCACGACCGTCGTCATCATCATCATCATCACCATCATCATCATCATCATCATCACCAGCAATCATCACCATAATCATAATCATCATCATCGCTACCATCATCGTCATCATCATGGCGTTGCCAGCGCGGAGCGGTGTCTCGGGCCCTTCGCGCCTTCAGCCGCTCCCTTCGCTCCTTTTCAGTCCATGCGGCCACCTGGGCCCAGGCATTCGGAACACGGACCTGTACCTTCGTATAGTTCAGCCTATGAGTGTTGACAAACATAGTGAAAGTACCCCCAAATACTGATTTGCGGTTGCGGTCACCTCATTCGTGTCTTTAATATCGTCGCTTGCAGGAAGCCATACATTCTGGACGCAACTCTCTGCTAGGCTAATTCGGAACTTTGGCTTTGCTTCTCTAGCTTGCGGACCACTGGTGCCACATACCTGAGAAATCGCGATCCCTAACCCCGAAGCCCCATACCCGGATCCATGGACCCAGAACTTTGAGCAGGGTCGACCTCTCTTGGGCCCTAAAGCAAACAGACTACAATCCTTTGTGCAAAAGCCCTAAAGGACGTCTGGTTTCTGGAGTAACCCTTAAGAAACCCCAACGGGGCACCCCCCCTTTTTTGCGAAATCTCTAAACCCTACACCCTAAACCCTGAACCCTAACCCCTAAAACCTGAACCCTAACCCCTAAACCCTAAAAACCTAAAACCCTAAATCCTGAACCTAAACCCTAAGCTCCGTTCGAGTCAACTCCCTTTCCGGGCCCAGACCTCGCGCTTCAGGTTGCGAAGCCTCATCCCGTTGGCTGAAAAAAGGTTGGATGTTGGGTTTTAGGGTTTAACGTTTAGGGTTTAGGGCTTGGGGTCTCGGGCTTAGGATAGGGTTTAGGGCTTGGGGTTTAGGGCTTAGGGTTCGGGGTTTAGGGTTGGGGTTTGGGGTTTGGGGTTTGAATTTAGGGCTTGATGCCGATGGAGATCACCATAGGAATGGTCATAGTAAGTACAGAATTCGGCGGTGATTGCAGCAATTAACGGTTCTAGTCCTGATGACAAAGATAGACATAATCATCGCCACACAGTCTGGAATAGTAGTATAGTCCCTCTTATGTAGATAGAATATGGAGTATATAGGGATCCCATTATAATATACCCGGAGCCATATTCTAACTACTTAAGGGTGGCTTTAATAGTAGTAAGCTGGGGAGGGGTTGGGATTCGTGTTATGAAGATTCAGATGGAAAAGAACGTGGAAACTCAAAACCTGAGATTGCAAGGGGGTTGTAGGCAGGGACAGAGTTTAGGGTTTACGCTGGGAGTCCAGGGCTTGGGAGTTTGGAGTGCGAGAAGTGGCCTTATCATGATGATCTCGTCCAGGAAAAGGGGGGGCCGGGGAGGCTCTCGCTAGAGGGTACCGCGAATCTCCCCGCTCTCCCTTTGATGCAGCAAGGAGACTTCGCCGCCACAGCTGCACTTTTGGATCCCCCCTGTGCCCAGGTTTGACTTTTGGGATCTGTTTCAAAAGGGTCTGGGCTCTGTGTCTTTGGGTACAGCCGCTTTAGGGCTGTAAGGTAAGGCGGCTAAGGGTTTGGGCGGGTAGTTGAAGGGAACTAGTGGCCTACTACCACAAGAATTTGCCACAAGACTCTAATGTTTGCATGCATACTTTTCACTTCTCAAGACAGATCCTAATGGACGAGCCTGTGCCTGCGCAGCTTCCATTGCATAGATGTCATCATAACCTGGGCTACTGTGCAGATGTAGAAATGTCTTATCCTGATATTGGGGATCCCTTGCCCGTCGTGTTCACAGTTACATGGAAATAAATTAAATGGAAGCGGTGACCTGGCGAATGTCAAAAGGAAACTCACTTTGAGAAACTGCCTCGTGATCCATAGTGTAAACTCCTACGGTAGAATCCTCCTTAATCACCCCTATAGTACACCAATGTAGACTCCGTTCATAATCCCCCTTGAAGGAATGTGGACTGTAGTACGCATGAAAGCTGGCGTGGAGATCTGCTCTTGCTTTGTCCTGCCCGCAATTAATCATCAAGCAGCGTCGCTTGATCGTCAGTGCCAAAGTTAGGTCCGACGTCGCTGGAGTGATTGTCTGGCGCTTTCCATTGCCCCATTCACCTAGTACAAAGCTGCGAAGGGAAGAGGCTGCATAGCAGGACTGTCCAACTGCGATCTGTCAGATACCAAGGCACAAATGAAGTTGAGGTACATGGAAGGACTGGTTCTGTATCCTGTGCTGCAGGCAGCCATGTGTCTCAGCTTCGCAGGCACGGGAGGTCAAAAGACTCCTTGCAAACAGGAATCCTAGTGCCAGCTCCTCCTGAGTCATGGGAAGGTGTGGATTTTCACCTCAAGTAGATCTCAACTGATACAAGGGATGAAGCCTGGATGGAAAAAGCAGCTGGGCCCTTCCAAGCCGAGATGCCGAGATTTATTCGGTCCAATGCCCTGGCCTTTGACAGACAGGACAGGGGCTACATGAACAGAGCAAATGCTGCATGCACCCTCTTTCAATGCATTCTGTTCTCACCCGCAGCGGAGGCCTTGATTTGGGTCAATGTAATGTGCCAATCAATTGCTTCAGCAAGCGAGAAAGTTGTCTGCGTCCTCACACCTCAGGATGAAGGCACCCAACCAAACTTCCAAGTAAGTATTCGTCTGGAAAGCACAGCTTTGCAACGGTCAAGCTATCAAGCTGAGACACTGAGGCCCTGCCAGGAGATCACCACTGCATACCTGCCCTTCATGTCCTAGGCTCACAATGGCAGTCATGATCAGTCAAGCAAATCTTATCACGTGCAGCCAAAGGGCTGCAAATATGCCTTGGCTCTGGCTGGGTAATATAGGGATAGTGGAACAGAAAATGGAAACTACTATTATATTGGTGCAATTTGGGATACTACATGATTGCAAGAAAGGGGACTTTGAAATGAGGCGAGGCAAGGGACCTGAAACTTAGAGTTGGTTGCAAAGAGACATTGCAATTATGACCATATGCATAGATATATATGTGTGTGTGTATGCATGTATGTATGTATGTATGTATGTATGTATGTGTGTATGTGTGTGTGTATGTACCCGTCCTCACGAAAAATCGATCCTCACATATCAGCACCCAAGACAAAGGCCATGAGTTTTTCACATTCCCAGTGTAATGTCAGAAACTGGAGCTCCCGCATGTACCTTTTACTACTACTATTAACGTTTCTATTCATTTCACATGATTATTACTCCTATTACCATTACTGTTAATTTTACTATTACTATTACTGTTAATATGACTATTGCTATTACTACTATTAAAATTATTAGTACCCCATAAAGCAAGCTGCCGGCTAAAGAAAGCGGCTTGGACTCGCCACTGCTTTGCCTGCCAGGGCTAGGCTACTTACTGGCTTTTACGCGGTTTAGTAAAAGGGTTCTATGGGAACCCCAAACAGGGAACCCCAAGAATATAGTAGGAATATACTGGACTATAAGGACCAAAGTAGGTATATTCCTATTCTATTCCTACTATATTCTTGGGGTTCCCTATGTGGGGTTCCCAGTACAGTAAAGTCCCTTTATTTAGGGTTTAGGGCTTAGTCGGGAAGGGTTTGGGGCTTAACTGACTAGAGCCTAATAGGGAATAAGGGAATAAATAAATTGGGATTATATAAGGATAATGGAAAAGAAAATGGAAACTACTACATCATAATGGGGTATAGATTGGAGTTATAGTGGGGAATAAGGGAATATACGATACAGGGTTTATATAGGGTGCTATGCTCAGGGGCAGTAGTAGATGCAGAAGAAGCGGGAGCAGCAACAGCAGCAGGAGGGGCAGTAGCATGATGACTGCCACTATTCCTTCTTCCACTTGTTGCTATTATGACTTTTGCTAGTACTATACAGACGGTAGCCTGCCCTAAACCCTAAACCCTAAATAGTAGTTTCCATTTAAATTCCATTATCCCTATATAACCCCGACATATCCCCTATACAACCTCTATTGTCGCAGTTTGGGTTTGCAACAAAGGGATCCGGAGTCGGCACCCTGCCCTGGTCAATCAGGGACCACTGCACGAAGAAAAGAGTCTTGAACTTGTAGGGTTTAGGGTTTAGGGGCTTAGGGTTTAGGTTGAGAGAACGCAAATTTAGGCAGGTGTGGTGCTGCTAGAACTGCTACTGTTTGTGGAACGACGCCACAATACTCCCTAAAAAATCCCGTACAGAATCTCCTATATAATCCCCGGTTAAGGGGTTTCGACTACAGCTCAGATGGGTTTTCGGACCAGACCTGCCCGATCCTGAGGAAGGGCACCACCCATTCCAACCTCTCTAGTACTTCACGATCTGGGGGCTCATATAGTAATATAGTCCAAACTCTGTGAAAGGGGTATATAGGATATTATGTACGCGAATATTGGGGTCACTAAGGGGGATACCAGGAGTTTAGACAAAAGCTCATATAGTAACGTAGGGGCAGTAACAATAGCAACCCGAATCAAAAGACCCGTGTTGTAGATATCTTACGGAATTAATGGAACTGTCTTGCGAATCCTTCCCCATGGGGCTCAAACTGGCACTGCTTCTTGAATGGGTTTAGGGTTTGAGGTTTAGAAGCTAATCCCGGACCTGTGCCTCCTTCGAACCCCAAATTGGAACTCCATTGTGGATGGATGAGATCTTGCACCACCTTACATGCCCCTGTTTCCCTTGGTGGAACCCTACGTTACCTGGTACAAGGTTTCCTCCATCTGCCCTAAACCCTACCCCCCTAAAACCCTAAATCGTAGCTGCCATTTTATTTTCCATTATCCCAATACAACCGCTATATAACCCCAATATAATACACCATAATATACTATAATATACTACAATATACTATAATACACTATATCTAAAACCCCAAAGTGGGCCCCCAAAAGTATCCTTGCCCGCAGCCATGCCTGATTTGGGAGAATTCCAGGTTCAGCGGCCCACTTTTAACCTTGGCTACAGCACCATGGGTGTTTAGGGTTTAGGGTTTAGGGTTTAGGGATCAGGGATTAGGGTTTAGGATTAGGGTTTATATAGGGTTTAGGGTTTAGGGCTTAGGGTTGTATAGTCCCCCTTAAGTAGATGGAATATGAGGTATATGGGGATCTTGTTATAATATACCCAAAGCTACATTCTATATACTTAGGGGGGACTATAGGGTGTAGGGTAATTGGGGTCCCCAAACTATGCCGAAAATTATGCTCCAAATAAGTTGGGGTTCCCTTAGAGGCAATACTTGGATGGTCAGGGGGACTTAGTAAGTAGGTTAAAAACCCCACTATAACCCATTTAGTAACCCTACTAATCCCCATTATTAAACAACTTACTAAGTCCAACTAAACTCTCAACCCTGAACCCTATATGTAATAGTTTCCATCTTATTTTCCATCTTTACTATGACCTACTTACTAAGTCCCCCTGACCCTCCAACCTAAACCCTAACCCTAAAACCTAAACCCCTAAACCCGAAACCCTAAACCCTAAAGCCTCCAAGGGGGTCCTGGCTCCGGCTAACGCCTAGCGACGTGGGCACTCTGGAGAAACTCCATGGCTTCTTCCAGAACCTGCACATGGGCCCCTGATAGCGGATAATTGGTTATATAGTGGTTATATTGGGGTTATATGGGGATAATGGAAAAGAAAATGGAATCTACTATTTAGGGTTTAGGGTTAAATGTAGGCCCCTGATTCATACACCCCTTCCTTTTAAGGGCCTTAATATTAGGATCCTTATTATAATCCCTACTAAGGGGAGGGGTTTATTTATCAGGGGTCTGGGTTATAGCCCCCCTTAAGTAGATAGAATATGGAACTGCTCAAAATAAGATCCCAACATGCCCCATACTCCATCCACTAAAGGGGGACTGTACGCACAAGGAGCAAGCAGGGAGTGGGTTTGAAATTCTTGCGAACTTGTTCTTCCAGGCTTACACCAGCAGACACGCAGGCAAGACTCATGCACATCTTCCACCAAACTGCGCTATATGCTGTCACTGCGTAAAGTGCGAGACAACATCACACCGTACTAGAACATCTGGCAGGCTAGCGGATCTGCTCCTGAAGGCCCATGAACTTTGGGCACTCTAAGCCCTGTGCCCCCCCCACCTCCCCAAACCCTAAAACGTACCTAGACCCAGAAGAATCCTTCAACCCTCTTTCGCGCCTTGGTTCGAAGCCCTTTCAGGATCTTCTTTTGCTCCGAGCCCCTGGCGGAGGAAAGCCGGATGAGTGCTTCCCGCACGGCTCCTCAAAGGTAACAGATGCAACTGCTAAGGATGTTAAGACCCTAAAAAGCATGCATACTTTTAAACATTGCAGTAAAACAAAGTGAGTGCTGTTGTCATTGACAGATGCCGGAGCCGGAGGAGGAGGCACAGGAGCGGTGGAAGCAGCGGCGGGTGGCGGTGGAGGCGGTGGAGGTGGCAATCAAATAGCAGTACGGTGGATACTAAAAATCCTGCATGACCCTAGGTAATTACCTTATACATTGGGAATAATGGTACTATAGTATACTAGGGTCATGCAGGATTTTTATTATCAACCGTAGCAGTGGGTGGTGGTATGCCGTGGTGGTGATGATGCTACAAGAACAGGTGCTGCTGCGAGGAACCAAGGAAAATGGGCTGTCGAGACACTGCGAGCGGCCAGCTCATCGTTACCCACGTCTGTGGAGCACTCCACATCCACCGAGCCCATGTCCATGCCTGCTTAGTGCGCACCCGCATGGGCGGGGGAGTCTCAACATAGGGGGACCCTTCTGCCGCATGACTGGATTTACTTGGCTTCCTTTCCAGGATTGCAGACGTTGAGAAATGCGTCATGATAGCGCGATTGCTATCCTGGCCTCCATCGGTGTTTCCCGATGCCAGCAGAGACCTGCCAATTCCAACAAGAGGGCTCGATGCCTTCTTGATGCCTTCGTTGGCAGACTCTGGGGGGGGGGGCATGATAGCAATGCTAGCATGCAGAATGATCCTGACAAGCATCACCGTAAACTCTCGAAATCCAGCCCCCTTAATGCTAAGAAGGACTATCAGTCTACAGCGGGTCTGATAATCCTGCTGGGTTTCTGCAAGCCCCTGGAAATCTCAAACGGCCTGTCATATTCCTCGCGACGCTGGCTGTCTGTCAGAACTTCAAACGCCGTAACGACAGCTTGAAAATCTTCTGGGCGACCACCTGGCTGTCTGAGTTCACTACTGATGGCTAGCAGGGACTGGATTATCTGGATCCTTCTTGCAGTCCTTCCAATCAATCAAAATGATCCCTATATAGCCCACTCATTCCCTCTCAGCTCTTACTCACTGGTAGTTAGCAGGGAATAGTTTAGGGAATAGAACCCTTTATATAACCCCCACAGGCCCTACTAACAACCAATAAGCTTAACCACCAGCAAGATCAGTTTAAGAGCAGCCCCGCACAGTACCAGTCCCTGGCACGCAAGCACAGCAATAAGCTCTAATATGAGCTATGATTAATCTAAACGCCTAACATCCTCCTTAGTAGCCCTTATGATATTCCCCTATAGAATCCACTATATAACACCTTAAAGGAATTTCACCACATGCCCGCACTTATCCCTTTAGCGGACTTGGAAGCATCTGGAGGGCTTCACCTAAGTGTAAGGTTTAGGTATGGGGTTCATGGTTTTGGGGTCCAGCCACCCAGATGTCAAGCTTTCTCAAAACCTAAACCTCTCTGCCCAATTCCTGCCCCCGCGAGCTGTTCCCTCAAACCTTATGTAGTATTGTGTTGCTCAACAACCTCCAGGGAGGTTTCCAACAGGTACGGCTCCCAATTGATCTTTTTCGACTCCAACGTAAAGATAGTAGTATATTGGAGTGTACATGGGGACTCCCCACATTTCTTCTAAATTATACCCGGATCGGGTTGACCCTGTCTCGGAAACAAAAGCTGAAACCCTAAAGCCCTAAGACCCCATCATGCGCACCCTTTTATGATATAGTACTTTCCCTTTGTCTCTATCCCTCTATAACCTCTATATAACCCCCATACACGTAAGATCTGCAAGGTCGCCACGTGGGGTTCTCGAGACAATGAGCAACTTTCGAGTTTCCGCATTGACAATATGAGCCACAATCTACACTCCTTAAAGGGGGAGATATAGGGGATTATATAGGGTACTACTAGAAGGGTTATTAAGGAGGATACTAGGAGCATAGACTATGGCTCATCTGATTGTTGTGGAGGAAGGGTTCAAACGAGAGACCCCAATTTGGAGAAAAACCTCACCCAAACTGATGTGGACTCCATACGAAGCCCTATGAAGACAACAGTCCCTCTGAAAGGAGCCTATACTGCGGAGCCACATAACTCCCCAAGGATCCCTACATGGTAGTTTCCCTAAATAGGGAGACCCCAATATCACCACTAAAATTCTTGCACTCCTTTTCGAAGGGACCAAACAAAGCACCACATGTTTTGGGAACCCCCCATAGCTAACGTCAAGTTTCCAGAAGCCTTCACATGATGAGCTTTTGTCTCATCTGGCCTTTGTCCGGGTGTGTCACCAAAGCCCTCTTGCGGAAGCTTTTCCTTGCAGGTGCCAGCAGAATATCCTAATATAAGCACCACCCAACCCTTTAAGTTCCTGGAGAACCATAAAATGTTCGGGGCCTTAGGAGGAAGCAATTCTTAGAGCTCTCTTGAACGACCCAAAACCAGATAGCCCTTGCTTGCCCAATTCCAACGATGGACAGCCAGAGTCTCGAGAGACCCGAGCAGAGCTTCAGGTCTTTGCTTGTTTGCGTTAGGCGTGTGCGAAAGCTAGTTCGTGCACAGTATATCTCTTGGAGTCAGCCCCCCGAAAAACAACAGCTCCCAGCAAGACCTGTCTGTCTCTCTGTCCAACTATCTCGTAACTTCTCGCAGTTTCTGGCACTTTTTGTGATTCTGACCGTATATGTTACTCAGCAATGGTGACCACAAGGGCCAGCGGTGATCAACCATGCCAGGGATATCGGATACCCCCACCTGTACTATACATACAGCCCTGAGCCAGCAGCTGGATGTCTTCTTGACTGGCCGATCGGGGCAGCTGCAGAACCTCGGTATATGGGTTGTCAAGATGCACCCCCAAAAAGTGCCCCAAGAAGAAGACCATTCCCCGCCCGTTCTGATCATCCTTATAATGCGAATCCAAGGACCTCCCTCTCAAATCCCTTTTGTGCCCTCAGGAGCCCCCAACTTTCCGAAACTCCAATGAGCTATAGTCTCAGCTCCTAGTATTCCCCTTAATAACCCCTAGAGTAGTCCCTATATAATCCCCTATATAACCCCCCCTTTAAGGAGTGTAGATTATAGCTCACACAACCCTAATCCCTATTACTTGTCCTATAATCCCAGTCCCATTTCATTTTCCATGTTCTTTTCCATTTGATTCTCCATTACTGGGGGGTGATATCCCCTAAACCCTAAACTGAGTTTAGACCATGGCTCATATGACCCCTATAATATTCCTATAATATCCCTATATAACCCCATTATAGTAGCTCCTATGCAGCCAAGGCACATCGTAGTGTCCCCGCGGCGCATTCTTTCCGCTGGCAGGGCTTCTACTTCGGCCTGGTTTCTTGGTTTCATGCGAGACTGGTAGGGTTTAGGGTTTAGGGCCCCTGTATATGCCTAGTATAACACTATTCACCGTGCCGGGGCCTAGCCCAATGCCCTCTTAGATGCAAAAGGAAAGATGGGTTTGATTCTTTGATGGCTTTGCGTCTGCACTCCACGCACCAAAAAACAATAAAAGCTAAAACAGAGAGAGAAACCTGGCAAGTAGACTCCAAATGCAGGTTTATGGTATCCGTAAGTAGGGGGACCCCAAGATCACTCCAGGAGACTATAATCCTTATTTTGAGAACTCCTCAAAAGGTATCCTAATTTTACAAAAAACCTCTCCATGGCTGGGGACTTCGGATATCAGGGTATAGCCCCCTTAAGTAGATAGAATATGGCTTTGGGTATCTTGAAATAAGATCCCCATATACCCCACATTCTATCTACTTAAGGGGGACTATAACCCCAGTATAGACCCTATTATAACATAGTCGTTTCCATTTTCTTTTCCATTATCCCTATATAACCCCAATAATATAACCCATATCCCATCTACCCAAGGGATCCCCCAAAGGAGAGTATGAGTATAGCCTTCTTCTTCTTCTGAGGGCTGAAGGGCCCACCCAGGAGCGACTCCCCGCATTACCGATCCCCCAGGGTAGGCGAGTAAACCCTAAACCCTAAACCCTAAAACCCTAAACCCTAAACCCTACACCCTAAACCCTAAACCCTAAACCCTAAACCCTAAAACCCTAAACCCTAAACCCTACCCTAAATCCTAAACCGTGTGCCTGTCTTTCTCTCTCTCCATCTTAGCTCAGAGAAAGCAGAGAAAGCAGAGAAAGCAGAGGTCCCTTTGAGCTGAGCCCTCAGGGCATATGGAGGTCTCCCAAAATTAGAAGTATCTTTAAAGGGGTTCATAGGGGCTATATAGGGGATATAAAGGGGGTTATAGGGGTTATATAGGGGTTATATAGGGGATGTACAGGGTTTTAGGGGTTTCCCAAAGTTAGGGATACTGATTTAGGGTTCCCCAGAATAAGGGCGATAAGATTTTAGAGTCTATATTGGGGTCCCCCTACTTAGGGAAACTACCATATGGAGGTTACCGAGAATTAGGGATCCTTTCGGCGTGTTCCAAGAATGAGACTCAAAGTATACTGGGGTCTACATATTCGTAGAAACCTCCACATGAGCTATAGTCTAAACTCCTAGTATCCCCCTTAAAAGCTCTTGGCCTATATAATCTCCTTTGGGTAGTTTAGACTATGCCTCACATGGATGGTAATAATAGAGACGTCCCTCAAGCAGGATCCTTGCACAAAAGGCCGCCCGATGGGACCACTGGCATTGCAGATACCTGGTTGTTTCCATAATTATTTAGTAAGGGGACCCCAGTCTCGACCCCACAATACCATAATTAATTATTGAGGGGAGCCCAGTATAGACCCAAAATACTATCATCCGTGTTAAAGGTATCCAGAAATGTACCCCTAATTCTAGGAAAGCCCCACCTGCGCTGAGTTTACATTAAGCCCCACAGCAGTGCGTGACATCGCCCACCTAGCGCCGGTGTCATCAGCGGCCGCTGTTTTGCAGAGATCCGTCGCCGCATCAAAGATCCGTTGCTCTGCCACAAGCCTGGGATGCTGGCACCTCGAGTCCTGCCTCCACCCATTACCAGTCTATTATAAATTATAAGGGTTATGGGTGGTTGTCAAAAGTATGGTCCCTTTTGGATCCGATTATAATACGGCACCTAATATTTAGGGTACCCAGAAAGGGACCATAATTTTGACAACAGCCCTTATGTTAAGGGGCTCTACATAATTATATTGTAAATATTCTCCAGCTGGTAATACAGCTCTATATAAATACATTATAAGTATCATCCAACTGTTTAAGGGGTGGGGGCAGTACCCAACTGGTACAATTAGTTTCTATTCTATTTTCCACTATCCCAATATACACCCAATATATCCACTAATATAATTTACTAGTTATCAGTCCTGAACCCTCTATTACCCATTATAGTAGTTTCCATTTTCTTTTCCATTACCCCTATATATCCAATAAACCCTAAACCCTAAACCCCAAACCCTACACCCTAAACCCTAAAACCCTAAACCCTAAACCGCCTACAGTACCAAGAAGTTCATGTTCCGAGCTCCGTGCGCTCAGCATCAGCCGCAGCATTCCATGCAGCTAATGCCGCCAGACGCGATGTTTTGTCATCCTGCAAAGTGCCAAGAATAGGGCTCGCCCGACATGCTGATACCAATAATTGCAATGATAGTAAGCATAATAACAATAGCAATAATAATCGCAAAAATGGTAGTCATGCCCTGACTTCTGTTCTATGAGAGCATGCCCTCCAGAAATGCCCGTTTAAGGTTCAAAGAGATTCCTAGGCCTACCATGCTAAGCGGTCTTGCGAAGTGGTATCCCTTCACCTGATTCTAGAATTCCCTAAAAATACCCTGAATTTGAATATTTCATTTACCGTGTTGCCTTTGTGCAGGGGGGGTGTTGAATATCAGGGAGTGGGTGGTGGGTGCTTTATCAAGGGGAGAAAAGAAGCCACTATATAATCCTAGGCTCCATTTCAGTTGCCAGTTTCTTGTCCATTTCATTTGGCCCTCCATTACCAGGTAACCCCCCTGCCTAGGGTCCTATACCGCCCCCTAAACCCTAAACCCTGCCTGGGACCTGTACCGCTAACAGCGTGGTCCTGGTTTCTCCGAGCAGCTGCTGGACTGATTTTGGCCATGATCGAAGAGCTCGAAGGTCCTTTATCTTCTTACTGGTGCTTGAAGGGGAGTGCGGGAGTGAATACGGGGTACTAAGGGGTATGTACATGAGGATTATGTTGGGATGATTGTAAGGATCCCCCGGAAGCACCAGCAACTTATGCAAACAATAAAAACCTGGGGGAATTTAAACTAACGTTGCTGCCTGCTTTTGTCCGCGCTCGTGTTGCAGGAGCCTCCACCTGCAAAAGGTGGAAGCCAGCAGATTTGCCCACACCCTACTCATCCCCTTCCCCAACAACAGACCCCAACCCCCCCCCAATCATCAACACCTCCAACATACTGTCAGCATGTAATGAAGGGAGGGAATGTTTTGTGAAGGGGGTGGAGGAGCAATTTTCAGAAGGAAGAGATCACCCTGGCACACAGCTGCAGAGGCAGACGGCAACCCAGATGTGCCTGACTCCGTTTCGACACATCTTGGCCACGTCCACGTCCCCGCACGCGCCCGACTCCAACTCCTCGCCTTCCTCGGCCTCGCCCTCCTCGGCCCCGTCCTGCAGTAATCTCTGTGGATCCTGATCCGCGCCCTGCTCCGCGCCCTGGCGCAGCCGAAGCTCCACGGCCCCGGGGTCGACCTCCTTTATTCTTGACTGGAGCTGGCGCCGGGACAGGCTCCGAAAGCCCTGATCCTCGCCCGCGACCACGCCCTGGTCCGCGTCCACGACCACGCGCCTACCAAAGTGCGGTGAGCAGAGCAACCCCTACATGAAAGAGCCGCTGCCTCAGACTTCTGGGCCGCTGTGCGACCACCTCCGCGACCACGCCTGCAGCGTGGAACGGAACACGAGAGAAAACATCTGGAAATGCAGCAGTTATCCACATGTTGATTGTGCCTGGCCGGAACTTCCCCGGGCAGATAGACTTTTGCCTCAGTGACACTGTCTTGGTCTGCTGCCAGCTGCAAACTGAAACGCTGAGAAATTCTCAAGGGCCCACCTTCGTCATGGCGGTTCTGGCGAGGCCCTTGGTCTGGAAAGGGCGAAATGGCTGTGCCGCGCCGGCTCACAATCGCTCGATCAGGTTGGAGCTCACCAGCCAGAGCCGGACGCAAACTTCTACGGCGGATATACCGCCCATTGTATGTTGAGCCACGCTGCAGTAGATCAAGCCATGCCATGAAAAGACATGCCAAGCCAAGAAGCCCACCTTCAGCCCTCAGACTCTGTGCAAGCTGACCCGAGGCTTACGCCATAAAGATCTGTTGCAGCGTCTTGTAATCCCCTGTTGGCACGATCACCTTCACTCAACTGAGCGTGTTTGGTTTCAGACATGGGCAGGCAAGAACCCCAACAATAGAAACAGTGTCATTCGCCGTAGCCATGATAAGGGCATGTAGAGGAAGAACAACAGCAGTGGCAGCGACAACGGAGGCCGCAGTTGACATCCATAAGAATGATAACAATCGCTATGATACAGTGGCCGACGCTGTCGCTAGCTCTTGTAGTCTCATCGAGTTGCGTGTGGCGCGGTGGCGGCGACACTGTTGGTGATTGTTGTAGCACTTAGAGGAATAGCAGAAGCAGCAGTTGTTACGGTTGCCGTCGTCGGAGGCGGCAGCATTGCTGCTGCTTCTGCTTTTGCAGCTAGCTGCATCAAGGAGGCATATGCAGGAGCATCACTGAGTGCATAAGGAATGGCAGCGGCAGCAACAGGAGGAGTAGTAGGAGTAGAATTAGGCGGGCTATCGTCGTTGTGGAAGGCCCAGCAGCAGTACGGATCGCTGAAGTAGCCTAGCGTAATACAAGTTATGGAGCACAGCTTCCGAGGAAACATGTCTGTTGTCCGTCCAAAAAACTCAAATGAAGCTCAGTGCTAGCTTTGGCGAGGGCAATGCACGGCATCAGCCACGGGGATATGTTCTCAAAACTGGGATCCCCACATAGATTATAACCACTCAAAACATTCAGATCCTTTCGTGCCCAAATTCCACTCATAATTTGGGGAAACCGCAGGTGTTTAGTCTCTGAGCCAGGTGCGCTTCGCATTGCCGCAGCCACCTGGTTCAAGACCTCCTCCGTTGCCTCAGGGGCGCAGGGGATGTATGAGGCTTTGTGTGTTGAAGCAAAACCTGCGCAACCCTGCAGCCATCCATAACACCTGGGCTAAAATGTCTCCGGTGCCTCTCGCCGGTTGGTCTCGTACATAGCATGGACCTCCTCGCGGGCTACGCTCACGTATACACGGACGCTTTCTGTCACACAATGCCAGTGTCATGACAATGTCGTTGTTTCTCCTATGTTTGCGTTATTGTCAGGTTTCCAATTTTGCCGTACTATGATCGTTGGTGATGGTTGCTGTTGTTGGTGGAAGCTGCGGTGTCACCAGGCTACAACGTCGATAAGACAACTACTGCTGCTGCTCCCGCCGCCGCCGCCGCTGCTGCTAGTGCTGGTCGCGGCGGCAATCTTTGCAGAGGTATTGGCAACACAAATGTTGTGGAACCAGGGTCGGAATTCAGATCATGCCGGTCTTCTTCATCAGAGGCATGCGTCCCTCCACCAAACATTAATTCTATTAGCCAGCACCATGGCTCTGGCTGCTCCAGGCATCTAAGAACAGACTGCCCCCAGGTCCTCTGATATCCTTATCTTGTCAAGTCATGAAAGCACCAACAAGTCCAAAAGCATACGCGTTCAACCCGTGGTAAGCAGCAACAAGGGTGATTGGTGCAGATTGGCAGCATCAAAGGTGCCCCAAATTCCATGACCTAGGACAGTGAAGAGTCGATGTGTTGCTTGACGTGCTAGAGTCTTACAGTACATGGAATGAGCGGTCCCTCTATGCACATTCTCCTCACCTGGCACATGCCAATACAGCAAAACACACAGCACCAATAGCTGCCATGCGCTACACAATTGTTGAGAGGGGCCCTTTCCAGAAATCCAGGGAACTGCAAGGAAAGAGCAAAAAGGCATGCTGTTGCGAGGTCTCGCGCTTCTTGCATCCAGGCGGCTACCCTGCCACCAAACCTCAGACGAGTTGCGGTTTTCATTCCACTTCGCAGCAAATTATGCCTCAAGGGTCTTTTCAAAATTGGGGTGCGGGGACTCCGATACGTGGGAGCTTCTCAAACAAAATGCTCTGGGGGTTCCCGGAAGAAGGATGCCAAGGCAAAGCCTCTGCGAAAGGGGCATTCACGTATACTTGCCGGGACTTGCTAGGCTACCGCGAACCTCCAAGCAGTGATTTTGGAGACCCAACTTCAAAGGCCTCTGGTCGAGGGCCTGGGCTTTAGTGAGACATATTAGGGTTTTATGGGGGCTATAAAGGGGTTATAGGGTATATGTTGGGTTTATATGGGGATAATGGAATGGAAAAGAAAATGGAAACTACTACAGTCGAATTGGGTATATAGGGATTACAGGGATGACATGTCCAGGAAGCCCGCAATTTGCCGTCACAACATCCAAGAAGCTGGTGTCCTCGGAAATAATTCAAGCCCACCGGCACAATCGGGACGTTTATGTGGTGGAGTCCTGAAGGTCAGCAATCCCAAAATGGTTTAGGATGTTTAGGGTGGAATTGGCCGTGAATACGTCAACAAGCATGTTTTTCTTGAATGCAAGGTCCTCATGCATACCCCCAAAAGTGTATCTATAAATGCGTGCGTTTTTATGTACACACAGATTTCGGCTTTCAGAACAGTATTGGGGGACCCAAAAGCCGTGCACACGTCGAGAAACCCCATCAATTGGGTGGAGCCAATGCGGAGGAAATCTTATCCAGTCAGCAACCACAGAACAATTAGAAAGGTACGTGGGTGCGTTTGGGGTTTATGGCTTCAAGATTTTGAGGTTCCAAAAAATGCGAGTCCTTGTTTGGAAGTCCCTAGAAGAAGGATTGTAGCATATTCAGGTCTTACTGGGGTCCAGTCTTCAAATACCTGGACAACTGAGGAGTTACCTTTGTACCCGCATTGTTTGTACCCTTGACCCTTGGGTTTGGATTCCGAATCCATGGAGTATGACCTAGACGCCCAGAAACCAAAGGCAGAATGAACCCCGGACATTAAACTGGGTTGCTGCTAAGGAACTTAAATTAAGTTACAATAATGGGCTATGGTAGTTAATATCGTTTCCCCAATATAGTAGCTTAATTTAAGTTCCCTACAGCGACCCAGTAGAGCATACTAAGGCCGCTTCCAGTTCTGAGGAAAACTGGATTTCACAAGGATAGGAAGGCTTAAAAAGGCAGGACAAAAAAATAGTGTGCCTGTGTATACCTCGCAAAATGACAGGATCCAACTTCCCCAAACGAAGGCTCTATGATTCCAGCAAACTTCCCTAGGGCCCTCTAGTCATAAACCGTCGCCCAGAAACCCTACTCTAGAAGTCTGAATTCCGAATAACTACCAGTATCATTTTGTGGTCTATAGCCTATACTATTGTTGCTCTGGAGATTCATAATCATTCAAAACCGTGTATCAGCCGGTTAACCCTAAGCCAGACCCTAAAACCTAAAACCCTCGGCCCGCTGAGGCCCGGCACGGAGCGCTTCGAGAGCGATCACGGCTACGCCAGCTTTTAAAGGCAACAGGTCCGTCCTGTCGTGACTCCCACCTCGCGGGGTTTAGGGCTGAGGGTCATTTGGGCTGAGGGTTTAGGGTTTGGATTCGTTGAGGGTTTCAGGGTGTATATGGGTTCTGGCATGGTTTAGGCTAGAGGGTGCCGTCGGATGCGTTTGGATTTGTATGGGATTATTGGGGTCTTCAGGGATTGGGGAGACATACAGACTTCCGAAGGACCCTCTTCAGAAAAATGTATAGCGGCCGGAGCTATCCCTGAATAAGATAGCCCAGTTCCAGAAATGGATGATGTTCTCCACACGGTACCAGACTTCAATTCTGCCAGAAGATTCGAGACACGAGCGTGACAGAATTTGCAGAAAAGCAGTCTTAGCAGCACGGAAGCAGTAAATGGTGGTTTCCCAAAACAAGGGGACTACAGGAACCCCCAAAAAGGTACCCTTAATTTCGGGCAACTCCCAAATTCGAAAAGCTGTCAACATGCACTTGCGCCTTCTGGGAAGATACCGAGGCATTTGCCAGAGCACAAGTTCTTGTACCTGCAGTAGACACAATGCCCAATGCTTGTGTAAAAGCTTAAATGATCGGAATAGGGTGCTGGGCTAGACTGTACCCTAACTACATACAAATTACATGGGGATATTAGCTGTAATC